GAAAGCGTGTATCACACATGGCACATAACTGATACAAAAATAAAGAAGTTTTGCTTATTTGGCAGCAAAACACTTGTTCTGATGCATCATGGGAGTATTCTATATTTTTTTAACTATATTTTATAATCTAACCTTTCCTTTCTTTATGGTAATTACTATTCTTATTTGTATTTTAAAGTATTTTATTGTTTAACTTTTAATTTTTCTTTTATTATTAATTTTTTGATTCCATACTACTACATAATCTAGTCAGAGGATTGAAAGTTATTTAGCATTTTGTTTGTTGCTATCACAAGTGTTTCAAAATTTTTTATAATGCCCAATTCTTATAGCTAATTCTTTTTACACATTGAAGTAAAGACAAAATATAAGAAATAATATATTATGATCAAATTGAAGTCAGAAACTTACCGTTATGTTTGTGAGGTACTGAAGTCGTTCTTTGACATCTGGAAAATTAGGTGCTGTTTCTGCAGGAGGCAACGGAAAACCGTAGCTGCAATATGCAAATATTAATCTATACTAAAAACTATATACTTATATCAGCATTCTGTTCGGTCATTACCAAACAAGCGACCCCTTGAGAATTCCAGATGTAATAATTATTAGCGAAGTAGAAGCGTTTTTCATGTTGTGGTCACTATAGTTTTATTTAAAGCACAATGTTGAGATATTTCAAATGAGATTCATTTCAAATATCTCAACATTGTGCTTTAAATATTTGAAGCTGAGGTCAAAGATTTTTCATGATCCTGCAATTTGCATTGCTTTCATAATACAGCTTCAATATATCTTTTATCCCTCCACTCTGTAATTTCTGTAAGTCAAATGTATTTAGTTTCATTTGCCTGGGCGTCGACAACGCATTGGGTGGTTGACAGCTACCCTGACCTGTCAAACAAGAAAAAGTATGAAAATATATTGCTGTTGTTCTGTTGACGAATGACACCGATTCCACACCTTAAACACGGATAAAATTTTTCAACGCTCCACCGAAAATGTGCGCGGAAAGAAATCCTAAAGAAATAAGTCGCCTCGTATGTCATAACAAATCTATAGGTTCAGAGTGTCATAATAATGATAAAATTGAAACTGGTAAAACTTTTTTTTTAATCGAGTCGCCTTCCGTAAATAGACAAAGTGACACGATAATAGGTTATTTAATTAAATTTTGGTTGAGCCAAACGAACTGTAACATCATCTGAACGTTGTATCGAGTGCTGTTCTGAGAATCAGCTAAAATTACCTGTGGTTCGCCAGGTAATTTATTTACTTATTTCCCACGATGGTTGGTTTGTCACAAGGTAAAGATTTATGTGGGGACCCGCGAGTGTACATGCAGGTGGTGCCAGAAATTGTCCATTTCCCTCTGCACTTCCAATGTCTAAACGCCCCAGACATTGACATCGACCTCTCTTCTTTAAGCGCATTGGAGAAGACTCTTCCACAGGAACTGAAATTTGATTAATTATCGCCTCAATTTCCATAAAGAGAATGCTGTGAATCGATTTTGTTTGTCAGGTAACACAAGAAATTAGCACTTTCATATACTTTTTACTTCTTTTACTTCTCGGATTCATTTTAATGTAAAAGTATTAAAATTTAGTTGTTGCGGTCCGTCTACCCAGGTTTTAGTTGCTACCTGAATGTCAGGATTCCAAAGATTTAACAAGAACAGCACATATTTTAAATGAAACATAAAAAGCTTATTTTCTAAAGGGAAAGTAGAAGCAGAACGTCAGTTGTAATAACATTTATATATTCTTTTCAGAAATATGCATTAGCAATAAAATGTTCAATTTACTTTGCATTGACGTTTGTTTTATAGAGTAATTCAGTGTTCTTAGCCCGGTATAAAATGTGTGAACAGACTTACTTTATGGCGGTCAGCCTAATGTGTTTGTGAGTTCGTAGACAAAGGCTGGTTAATCCCTTCTATTGTGTGTGTAGTCGGCGGCTGCTGGCTGCCACTCTTCCACTGTGTGCGTGCGTGGGGGTGCGTGCGTAATACGTATGCGTAGATCAAACTAGCCTCCGAAATTATTGTGAGCCTTGAGAAGAAGTATGCTTCTATTTTTATATCAAAATCTAATTTCACATAGAAGCGTGAACATTTTGAAAAGGTTTTCATCAACTAAGAAAATAATTTCGCCCTGGTTCGCGAAAATTGAATTTGCGGTAATGATGAAGGGAGTTATTATTGATATTTTCTAAATGGGCCAAAAGTAACACGCGGTAGGTCTACAACTACGTCCGCAAGTATTTTGGCGGTATTTGCCCCTGTAATGATTGATTATCAAACAAAACTTTCCGGTGGGATTTTATTGTTTGAAAAATATATATAGGATTTAATTCCTATATAGCCTTCGTACTTAGAAAATATTTTATAGCGTAATATTCTACATACGATATCTATCAATGATCATAGCACTTCTGAATTTTCTTCGACAGTTGATAGCCAGGTTCTCCTCCATCTTACGATTTTAAGAATCAAAATCGACAAGTGATGGTCGTCCACTCAATTCTAAATGTCTTTTTTTTCCTAATAAGTTCAGGAACTATTTATCTTTGAAATTCAAACTGATTGAATACAGAAGGATTGTTCTCTGGGACAAACTTTTTAAACCTCACTTTATCCTAAAAGCTAACCTTTTTTTTAAAGGTTAGTTGTGTCTGAGTGGGACATTCAGCGAGAATCGAACTTATAATCGTCATAATCGTCTACGAAACTAATTTACTGACCACTGTTCTATAATGAAATATAGAATTTACCAGAATGACTAAAAATAAAATTGCAACACAGTTTACTCAAAATTAAGCGCACTGATAATAAAGATGGGTTACGGTAAATGATCACATATATAGATCAATACGTACGAAAATAAGTGGTGTATTATTGAAATTATTATATAGATAAATGAATTGCCTCCCTTTGTAGGGGTCGTTATCACCGGTCCCTGGGTTGGGCTGAAAGCAGCCTATCACGGCCTTTTTTTTTCTTGGGCCACCGACGAGCCAACACGGACTAATTTAGCTCCGTAAAACTTAACGAGCAGCCACATGGTGTCCGAAAATGGAGCGGCCAAGAATACAACATAGGAACGAGGATGTCCCAACAGCTGCAGCAAAACATCCGAAAACTGAAGACTTCTTCAACCTGAAGACGTTGCAACAAAAATGAGAAGAACTTTTAACCGAACGAACTTTACTGCCACCAGTTAAGTCCTCGCAAAAACCACTGTTTTTTTGCAACGATTTTTAAACCCAATTTTTCTATCTTCCTTTTTTTTTCTTTCTCTTTCTGATATAAATCATTTCTTTTTTCTACTCAAGTTTGGTGTTGTCCTGCTTTCTTTCGCCGTGTCGCATCAATGTTCTTTTTACCCTTATTTTCTACATAGGGCAAATTATTGATCATATAAATTCAAAGGGTATAAAAACCCGCATAGTATCAAGAGAACCACGACCTCATTTTAATATACTATACTATATTTTAATATACTATATATATACTCCTTAGTCGTTCTGTCAGTTCTTCGCTATTGCCTGCATACGATCCTACACATGGCGTACTCCGTCGACAATACATTATTATATGTTTCTTGAGACTTACGGCCATATTACGCTGCAACATGGGTTCTCATATTTTCACCAAAGTTAGGCAACGTCGAGCCTGGATGAGTTACCTCTTGGGAATACCAGGTGCTGTAAGCTAGGTTGTGCGGGTGGTGTAATTGATAATGGCTAAGAATTGTTAATCGGAGAGCGGAGATCCAATTCCAGTTGGGTTCGTTATAATCACTTACACGCAAATACCGTTGGAAAAGGCATGAAACTACCTCTGCCCTAAGCTAATGGTTAATTAGTAAAACTTGTATAACTAAATCATTATTATCTTCCCCGCCAAAAAAAAAAATCTTACAATCTAAAAAAAATATTCTCCGGCTTTAAATAACCTGCAAAAGGGTTGATATGCTGTAGAAATCGAATCAACAAAATCCACATCTCTTACACATGTTGACAGAATACATCAAAAGTTGTCTGTGGGCTAATCGGAAAAAGTTAAGTGCCATCCCATAATACTCCAAATATGATCCTCAATCGTTAAGACCCGATGGAAAATAACAGTTGTCTCAGTCAGGATGCAGAACCGTATTTACTAAACGCAGTTTGGCACAAGGCCATAGCAGTAGAAGACTCAGTGAGAATCGAATTCACTTCGCTTGTGAATTAATCGGCGAGAAGTTGTAGCAGGTGTTCGATACACACATATCGATGTGACTACGTAGATATCTTTATGAGTTCGATATAAATATGAAAAAAATGTGAGTTTTCTAAGGAATTAGATCATCAAGGAAATTTTAATTTTTATGGTCTGATGCTCTTTTATCACGATTCAGCTAACAAACATGGCGGCTACTCGTAATAAATTTGAAAGTTGATGAAATGAAAATGGGATATGCGTTTAATCGGATCGTTCTGGGATCCATTACCGAATTACAGCCGCCCGATATATATAAAAAAAGAAAAAATATGAAGGGTACACTCACGTGATTCGTAAAAGAATTCTTACAATTCGTCTCTCGTCTGACTTCAGAAAAAATCCTTATGAAGATCAACTAACAGCTATTTCTTTAGCTCAATTCTCATTGGCTAAGAACGAGATCTCAGCTCACCTGATATGCATTCCTTTCTCAATATCTTTGAATTTTTTCTAATACTTCTTCTCATATCTAAAACAAATTTTCTTCGTCTGTCTGTCACAAAATCACTTTGGATATAAACAAAGAAATATTTGAATAACAAATATTCAATTTAAGATTAAGTTGATGACTAACGCTTTATTGGATTTTGTAGATTTATTTATTCGTTTTGTACGGTTTATCAACCCTTTGTAGGTTATTTAAGCCAGAAAATATTTTTAAATTATAAGATTTTTTTGAGATAATACTGATTTCGTGATACAAATCTTACTAATTAACCCATAGCTGGGTTAGATATAGCACCTGACATTCCCAAGCGGTTACCTATCTAGGTACTAACCTGTCTCGAGGTGGCTTAACTTCGGCGATCATAGGGGAAACGGTGTTTCAATGTGGCATGACCGTAAACCCCACATTTTGTAGGATACTGAAGATTTTGTTTAACTTTTACGAGCGTACAGAACCAAATCCGACATTTTTTCCTCAAATAAAAAATATTTCCTCTACATAGTTTAATAGAAAAAAAGAAAAAGGTTTTCCCCAATGTTTAAGATATGATAAACTTTTTGCTAAAGGGCAGAGAGTGAAATTTGGCAAATATTCCAAAAACCAAGTTTTTACACAGTAGGGGAAATTTAATTTTTTTTGTCTAATTTCTTGGTGGCTGTGTGTTACCAAATATGAACCAATTTTCTTAAAGATTTTTGAATAGACATAATGTTTTTTTTTTAAGGATTTAATCCTGAGCCTGTGTCATGAAAATGCCGGTTAAGTTATGGGTATACATATTTGTTCATTGCTCGACAACAGAATAGCTGTGAGTGAAAATCTCAAGAAATGCAGCCTGGAGCAAAATCGGCTTGCCTCAATAAATGTCTACGCATTTCTAAACTTTTGCATTTGCACTTAAGCCACAAATTACCATGTCATTTTCGTTACATGAACAAATAAATGGCATGTGCAGGTAAAAGGGAGATAAAGATTATATAATAATAATAATAATAATAATAATAAATTATTATTATTATTATTATTATACATTATTATTGAAATAATTTACTGAAGCAGTCAAAATTGTTTGGGTATTTTAAGTTCCTATTGTTATAAAGTTACTTTTCCAATTATTGTTGTACTTTTCTCTTTCATGGGATCGGTCTATTCCCCTCTCAGTTTTATAAAAAGCTTGACAGAGTCCACCATTATCATAACACAGATATTGCCCCCCCCCGCACCTCTCGGTTTTATAAAAAGCTTGACAGAGTCCACCATTATCATAACACAGATATTGCCCCCCGCACCTCTCGGTTTTATAAAAAGCTTGACAGAGTCCACCATTATCATAACACAGATATTGCCCCCCCCACCTCTCGGTTTTGCTAGTGAAACAGAGATAACTCTAGCACAACAAAATGACGTTAAAGATAAAAATGTACAAATGGACTTAGCGTATTCTATATTTCGTTCATTATAAGAGAAGAAAATTTAAAAAAAATAAAAAAATTCTATAGATTCGATTGTGATAAAATTGCAGTAAATATTCTCAATAATTTGTTGTACATTGTGGCTAAGTTTATGAACTAATAACAAAGAAAGTAAGAGAACAAAAAGAAAAAGTGTAGCATCGAAAATTAAAGAAAAAACAATTTCATTTATATTCATGGCTGAAGATGAAACATCCCCTTGCTGGTGAAATAGTTAGCAACAAAATATGGTAACATTGCAATTTAAACAAATATTATGGGAAATTGAAGTGGGCCCCATATAAGATTCCTACTTAGTGGATGCAGTCGTTGTAATAAATAAAGAATAGAACACAACTGACCTCTGATTTATACAAGTTGTATTAAACAATATTACAAATAAGTCCTTGCAAACTCAATGGTGTCTGCGACCAAATTTATCTGCTGAAGTAGAGTTGATATTCTCTATGATCTACATATTCTGTGGTGATAACGGTGTAGAGCTAGTTTTTTCTACAAGTGTTCATTTCATCAGTCTTACCAAGAGAGAGTGTTTTTCAAAAAGAGGTAGAAAAGCGAGACAATCAGCAACTGTAAGCTGATTGGCTAACCTTAAGCTGCCAAGGGCAGATAATCATATCTCTTATTTCTCATAATATTCCTTATTTGCCTGCAGCTTTTTTCCTACATTATCACGGTAACATGAATTACTGAGAACTTCAAGGAATGATGATTTCTTCTCTTGCAGAAGTTAATCGATCTAAAAATGTAATTTGTAGAATAGTAACGTTATTATAAGGTGTCATCTTCTAAGTTACCTAAAAGACGACGGCGGCTATGTAAAACGTTTTCTCGGTAGAATCAGGTGATTCAAAACCTCTCCATTGTAAACAGCTTTGAAACAGCAGTAAAAATTGCGAAGATAACCGAAGAATTTGGCATGAAAGTATCTTGACACACGGTGTATGCCACGTATGGGAAACATGGCGTTATACGCATTCTGACGTAAGATCCCCTAACAGCAAGAAGAATCAAAATGTCAAAGTAGCCTTTGCAAATAAAAATGTCTGAAGTGAGGAAAAACTGGGCAAGAATGTTCGTCAGCGATGAAAGTAATTTTTCTTGGCTAAAACTATGTCAGAATTCGTAAAGATAAGAGACTGCTCCGAAATACGTGAAAAAAAAAAAAAAAAAGAAACAAAACCCCGTTATATTCAGAGGTAGCGGCATATTGGTAGGAGAGGTGTTTTATGATTCTAGTGTTTGCTCATCTACTCAGATACATTGCAAAACAAACGTTGCAGTGTTTAAGAATACAACGTAACAAATTAATGAAACCCTATGCTCATAGATGCACAGAAGTAATTAAAAGTTGTGGCCTGCACAAATCTTATTAATATTCTGTATCAACATTAAGTCAGTAATCTTTATTTAATTTGCATGTCTTCTGTTTTCTTCTGTAATTTTCAATGCTACTTAATAAAATTATTCTACGGTGTAGGGAGTTCATTAAGGTATATTATTTCAATAATTTTAATATAGGTTACATGTTTCCACGTCTAAATTAGGATTTTACTTTAATGTTACTTTTCCAAAAGAATATTTTTAATGGTAATTAATAAATTCACTTTTTTCCTTTCATGACGTCATTACATGTCTCATTATCAGGACAGGATGATTGAGCGTAGTTGTTTGAACGCAAGGAAATGACATGTAGAAATATTAAAATAATTTAAAAGTGCTAATTACGATAAAGAATTGCTATTGCATTTTTTAATTAATAATTACGTGCTAATTAATTTAGTAATTATGTGCTAGACTCCTCAGGTACACAACAGTGTCCATGTTTTCTCACCCAAGAAAAGGTTTTTGTATTCTTCATCTGTACATGGTTATTGCTTTCTTTTGAGCTTTTTGCTTTCTACTGAATTTTTTCTGCTGACCCTTTTTGTTTTTGCTGAGATTTTGCTTTTTTTGCTGAGCTTTTCGCTGAGATCTTTTCTTTCTGCTGAGCTTTTTGCTGAGCCTTTTGCTTTCTGTTGAGATTTTATTTTTTTGCTGAGCTTTTCGTTGAAATTTTTGGTTCCTGCCTAGCCTTTTGCTTTCTGCTGAGATTTTTTTTTTTTTTTTGCTGGGCTTTTCGCTGAGATTTTTTTCTTCCTGCTAAGACTTTTGCTTTCTGCTGAGCTTTTTGCTCAACTAATTAACATTCGATTCCCAATATGCATTTGTATCTTTCTCTAATATTTCCTCAGCCATCGAACATTTTGTGCGATTGGATCTGTTAATTTTTCAGCTCGATAGAAACATCACCACATCGCAAAATTTGTTAATAGGAATTCTGATATTGACTAAAATTAGCATAATGTGGGACAAAACTAAAATGTTAGAGAACTGGGGGTAGATAATCTTTCAAATGGAAAGAGTCTGCCTTGAAAAGCTGCATTCGAAATCCTAACTTTACCTGAATTTAAACAGCAAACATAAGAAATATTCAACTATCATAACAACGAAGTAGACACATTATCAATTTCTGATTAAAACCAAATGGAATAAATTAGGCGTGGAAGAATGTGATGTACAAATATTCCAAGTGGAGAGAGGTTTGTTTGCCCTGAAAAACAGCATTCAAGGTATTAATTTTACCGGGAATCGAATATTGACCTATGGTGTTAGTTATATGATAGGATTGGATTCGTAGCTTTATGACACTAAAAAACGGAACTTGGATTTTATCAAATATTAATCGATACTTTTTTAATGAATCTTAAATCATCTTAAATTGGAGCATTTACTCTTAACACACCGATGAAATAAAACAGTAAAAAGGCTATTTACATTATTCGGACTATTGTCCTCATCTTTGTTGTCATATTTATCACGCTCCGGCCTTCTTCAGGTGGTTGGAATGTCGAACTGAACCCTTTATTTCGCTCACTGGGGTAGACTGTTCTAGTTCCACGTGCCATGTCCAATGGATGTCAATTATCAGTTATCTCATGTTAATTCTCCTCTCCAAGTTCTCCACCGCCTTTACCAGGTATTGAACTCAAGGACACATGGCACAGTGGACAAAGGCGTTAGTTAGATCCAGTGACAGGACCCATATTGTTAGTGTAGCCAAAGATAAAAGTGCCGGAAATCCAGTGAAGATCAAACTCATTAAACTCGCAATTGGTTTATTAGACTAACTTGTTAAATATTGCACTGTCTCTCGCATTTTGTTCATATTTTCACTATCTAACTATATCATACAACTGGAGCCCTCCATATCCCTCGCATTTTGTTCCTATGTAAATCTATCTATCTATCTATCTATCTATCTATCTATCTATCTATCTATCTATCTATCTATCTATTCCAGCCTCAACTCATATCTATCTATCTATCTATCTATCTATCTATCTATCTATCTATCTATCTATCTATCTATTCCAGCCTCAACTCATATCTATCTATCTATCTATCTATCTATCTATCTATCTATCTATCTATCTATCTATCTATCTATGCCTGATAACATCCTTCAAATCTACCATTCGTCCTTGCATTGAATACTGTTGCCATATATGGTCTGGTGCCCCCGCTGTTCATCTTGAGGTCATAGACAAAATCCAGGGACAGATATGCAATGTGATAAGTCCTGATCTGACATCTCTTCTACAGTCACTTTCTCACAGACGTGATGTGGCTTCCCTTTTTTTTCTACAAATATGTTCATGGCAACTGCTCTGACGAGCTATTTTCACTGGTACCCCAACTGCATGAAATTTAAGCGTGCTACGAGGTTGGCATCTCGGTCTCACCCTTTCACTGTTGAAACAGTTAAATGTAACCGCCTTTTCTACTCCAATAGCTTCTTATCTCGCACTTCTCGACAGTGGAACTCTCTTCCTCTTACTTGCTTCCGTGATAGCTATAATCTTCAAATATTCAAATCTAATGTC